TGATCAACAGAGGGGGGGCGTGGTGGATTGTCAACAATACCCTACCACCTGTTTATGCACCACGGGTCTTGTCTGTGTAATGTCCGATCTCGCCAAATCACGTCAAATCACGTCAAATCACGACAGTTCACACACACGGGAACACCAAATCTGAAATCCTCTGCACAGACCCACGACACAGGCGATGACCACAAGAAGGAAATGTCCGACAGATGTACAGTTCCCCGCGGGTACACGCCCCTCTCTCTCTCTCCTGTGACCGTCCACACACCGAAACTTTGCACGAGAGGTGTTAACACTTCACCATCCTCGAGGTTCATCAATGTCTACGATCGTTCGGTGGTGCGTGTACTTGCCTGCCTCCTTAAAACATCAACGAAAAAGAACCGTCTGATAATAACCAACATATTCTTCGTTTTCAAAGCCGCCCAAATCCTCGCGTCTTCGAGTACAAGTATTAACAACAGATCAGACGGCGCGCCCTCACTGTATCTCGCACACACAGATAGACAGACAGACAGTGTCGTCAGACAGAGCACAGATCTAGACCGCTACAACTACTTTGGCTCAGAGAAATGTGTTTCCACTAGACTAGTCGCCACTAGTGCTGGGCGGCTAGGTTCCCGATTATTGAAAGCTAGGAATCGTAGGAATCGACTCCGAACCCAATTACTTACTTTCTAATGACGTGATTTCTTTCGGTGGTTACCTGGTTGGCTCCGAACATATTCAGGATGTAGGATAACCTTGATTTTGGAATACTATGAAACATCAACTTCTATTTTTCAAAAAATATATTCTTTAAAAAAAAGAAGATTTTAATGATAAAAGTAACTGGTTACCGTTGGTTTACGTAAAAAGGAGACGGAACTTTACTTCCGTGGTATTAATCGTGGGAATCGGTTCCGGAATCGACTCTTCGCCCAGCTCTAGTCGCCACCGCAAAATTACAAACTTCTCAGTACTCGCTTGTGAGCAATTTGACGTAAAAAATATTGGAGTTTCACAAAATGTCAAGCTTTTTCCAATGTAATGTTTTTAATATCTTGATAACGACTCCGAATAGTGTTATGGTTTTTAGTTTAGTTTTAGTAAAGGTTTCACGGCACTCGCAACTGCATAATGTCATATGAGCGCCAGGAGACTAGAGATGTTACAAGAGAGTAACAAACATAAAAAAAGAAGAAGGGGAGATAAGGATGATAGATGTCTGATAGGAAAGAAGAAGCAAACCACACCAGAGCACCCGCCAACCACTCACTCTTATGGTTTTGATAGAGCAGATAGAATATTTGGTTTCTGACCTCATGGTCTTAGTTATTCATACGGCCCAAAATGTCGGTTAGAATTATGTAATTCTAAGGAGGCAAAGTCACAACTTTCACAATCTACAGGCTAAAGGTTTGGCCAAATCAATTCTTAGAGTTGAGAGAAGCACATCGAAACAATAACGGTCATTTAATGAAGGGAAGAAACATTACAGGTAGAATATATATA